TAAGAAACCAATTCACCCCCCCTCTTGGTTTTTGTCCGACCACGCGAACATTCTGCTGCGCGATTCTAACACATGTAATCCAAATATGCCTTCAACTTCAATGACTTCATTGTCATGTAACATTTCATCTACTTGGTAAGGGGCATCCTCTTCCACACCATCAGAATCAATACAACCTCTTGGTTTTGTTTTGATTGCAACACACCAACAACGCTTGTCTATTTAAAATGATGGATATGGGACATAGTACACTTGTCTTACATTATATGCAAGGATAAATGGATCAAATGGTTCATATCTTAAACCCATTCAAATATCTACAATATTATATTTAGGATCCACTTTTGTACCTCTTCTTGATGGATCAAACCATTCATAATAAAAAACCACAACATTTTTGGGAGAACTTGAAGTATTGTACTCCAACTCATATATTTTCATAATTACTCCATAAAAATCATCTTAACCACTTTCTGTTAAACCCTTAACATAAACACCGCTGTTTATTGTCTTTTTTCCTTGCTCCATGCATTTGTATGAAATTTATATCCATTCACAAAATATGTGTGCCATTCTTTAACGCATCGCATAGGATGATTGGATAAACCCCTTAGGTCTTGATTCCTCACACTAAATGGCTCATTATGGATCTACAAATATAAAATGAACCAAATGTTACATTAATACCTATATACCATATTTAAAAGAGAATGGTAACATACATACTTGTTGCCTAAACCATGTAGGAAATTCTGCATGAATTCTAGCATATGCTTTTGATTCACTTATTTGCTCTGATTGCAAGAATGAGCTATCCAAATAGAAAATGCTAAAAGGTTACTTTAAGAATGTGACAAAGAATTTAATAATGAAATTGAAAAGATATGTGCTTTGAACATACTCAAGGTACGATTTAACTTCTTGACAATTGATTAATACATGAACATGAGCTGACTTGAATTCAACATCAGTTAACCAGTGAGTCAACTCCCACCCAGATGGACGACCAACTTGTTGGAATACTGATAACATTGAATATTGTGTTTGAATTTGGAAATACATTTCATTTCTAGGTTGTCGTGGTGACAACATGAAGTTATTGAAATAATGAGAACAAAAGTATGTCGTCTCACGATGCAAGTAAGCTGCACAAATTGATCATTCAACTTTAGCCTTATTTTTGACCGATCGTTTAGACTCCCCCATGAATCTATACAATTTAAGAAGAAAGATTATGATTGATCAAACTAATCAAAATAACATATAAAACACATATAGGATAATCATTTCAACACCTTTCAAATGGATACATCCACCTATATTACACGGGTCCACCGGGCCAAGCTTCATATGGAAGATGAATAGGGAGATGTTCTATTGAATCAAAGAATGCAGGAGGAAATATTCTCTCCAACTTGCAAAGAATGATTGAAATATTTTCTTCCATCCTAATAAGCATTTCCCTCTTCAATGTTGTAGAACACAAATCTTTGAAGAAATGACTAATTTCAATAAGAGGATTCAAAATATGTACTGGTAACGCACTAAATGCAATAAGAAGTAAACATTCCATGAATACATGACAATCATGACTTTTCATGCCATGAATCCTCCCCTTTTCAGCATCAACACATCTTGCCACGTTGGAAGAATAACCATCGGGCATCTTAAGTTATCTTAACCAATGACAAACTACCTTTGCTTGTTCAATAGTATATGTGTAGTTTGCATTAGGCTTTAACATTTTGTTGTTAGCTTGTGCCTTTAACTCCAAGTCTGGACGCCTACAATACAAAGCTATATCCTTCCTCGCCTTCTCATTATCTTTTGTCTTTCCATTTACATTCATCACAGTGTTGAATATGTTATAAAAAAAATTCTTCTCTATATGCATTACATCAAGATTGTGTCTCAACAAATTATCTTTCCAATACAGGAGATCCCAAAATATGCTTCTTTTTGTCCAATTATGCCATTCTCTGTATCGTTCTATCCTTGTGATACCACACTCAATTACTTTTGGTAAATCTTTTACTCTTCTCCAAACTTGTGTAGGTATTAGTCGAGGAGGTGGCCCTTCTACTTCAACTTCTCCCTTTCGAAAGGCTTTAATGTTTCTTCTAAATGGATGATCATTTGGTAAGAACTTTCGATGCGAATCAAACCAACTACTTTTACGACCATAATTCAATGTAAAGTATTTTTTATGCTCCATGCAATGTGGACAAGCCAATCTACCATGAGTTCCCCAACTAGATAACATCCCATAAGCAGGAAAATAATTAATTGTCCATATTAAAGCTGCCCTCATCATAAAATTTTGTTTCTTTGAAATATCGTATGTGAGAACACCATTCCACAATTTTTTCAAATCATCAATTAAAGGCACTAGGTAAACATCAATAGAGGCTTTCAGATTGGATGGACCCAAAATTAGGCAAGTTAAAAACATATATAGCTTGGTCATGCACATTTTAGGAGGAAGATTGTATGGAGTAACAATGATAGGCCAACAAGAATAAGGTGAAGATGATGCTTGAATATATGGATTAAATCCATCAGAGCATAACCCAAGTCTGACATTGTGTGGATCAGCAACAAAAGTTGGATGTTTTCGATCGAAGTGTTTCCAAGCTTCACCATCTGATGGATGACATAATACATCAGAAGTTCTATTGTCATGGTGCCAAGTCATTTGCCCAGTAGTTTGCAATATTGATGCAAATATTCTTTGTAATCTAGGAAATATAGGCAAGTAAAACCTGACCTTTACTGGAATTTATGGGTTGTTCTACTATTATTCTCATAATATCTTGGCTTTTGACAAAATTTACATTGAAGTAATGTAGCATCTTTTTTGCCATTGTCATTGTCATAAAAAATCATACACCCACTCACACAACAATCAATACTCTTCACCTCTAATCCCAACTTTGATACTAACCTCTTGGCATCGTAATAAGTTTTTGGCAAATTGTCTTTTATAGGTGTGACGTCCAACAACATGCGTGTCATAAAGTCTAAGCATTTATCAGGAATATTCCAATTTGACTTGCAAGATAAAAGTCTAACACATATTGACAATTTTGATTTTGTTTCCCCCTCAAATAATGGTTTATATGTCTCTGCCAACAAATTATAAAAGCTTTGAACTACTTCATTTGGTGGCTCTTCTATGTTAAGACAATTGGGTCGTTGAAATGATTGATGTTGCCAGAGAGAATTGTACATCATCTCTTGCATTGACATAAATTGGTCTTGTTCAGTCATGTGTACATCAATACTTGAACCGCCAACACAATTATCATCAACATTCTCTTCAACTTCAGGCACACGTTCTTCGTGATCCGTCCAAATCCAATAATTTGGTTTGAACCCTTACTTGTAAAGGTGAAATTTGACGATTTCATCCTTCAAAATTCTTGTACAATCACATTTGGTGCATGGACATCGAATTCCCCCATCACGTTCGTAATACTCACATTATCGAGCAAATCTAACAAACTCTTCAACCCCTATAACAAAAGACTCTTTCAAACCTCTTCTACCACTATAACATATATCATACATCCAACTACGATTGAAAGGAACATCCTCCATTCTTTGTAACAATGAAGAAATAGGATGACTTGATTTTGGATGTTGACAAATTAATTGCAATGTAAACTTCAAATTGGGGTGCGTATAGATGTAGTACAACTTATAGGTGTACTACAAATCAAACTTTAATGTGAAGCACAAGTTCATACAATGAAAATTTCATGGAAAACTTGAATTAAAGTGGAATGAATGAACTAAAACTTTAATAAACAATAAGTTAATGATTATTCGTGTACACACTAATTAAGAACATGTAGATGATTGTATATGCCAACTAATTAAAAACATGCAAACTACTGCACGTTGAACTAAATTAAGCAGATATATACTTATGAATGTTCAAGTAATTACAGAATTTTTCCAATAAGTAAAAACTTATAAGTATAAAATTGCACAAAACAACAAAAAATAGTCCCAATTAGAAAATTGTCCCAATAAGAAAAAATAAAACAAAATTGTATTATGAAATTGCACAAAATAGTCTTCTTACTTGCAATCACTATAAAAAGCTTTACAATTTTCTTCCCTTTAAGCAATTTAGTAGCAAATTGTTGTAATCCTATCATAAAGAAATAACACACCCAGATCATTCAATAATAGATATAGAGGCACAATTCATCTTGCATGAACAATAGACATATATTTTATGGGAGTAACATAGATTTTATATAATATTTATAATCCAGGAATCAGTATTTACAAACAACCAATGAAACCATTCTAGTTCAACAATCCAGTTTAAATAATATAATTAACATCATTCAGTACAATTAACTTCTAAGAGAATAGAGTTAAAGGCAAAATAAGGACTAAAATGATTAAACCCAAACGTGGATGAGCACAATCAAACCCAACTTAGTATAAACAACAGACACTACAACTTACTATTAGGCTACAATCATCAATACATCTAAATCAACCTTATTAAATGTTCCAATTTAATTTTATTGTTCCAATTTATAAAACATATTATTAAATGGATTTCACAAGCTCCAATGCACAATATCCAATAAATCAGGTTTAAATAAGATTCAAATAATAGGGCAAAACTTAAATACAAATATAATTAGCATATTTTATTAGTTCAACACACTAGTAAAGTGAACTTTTTGCAATATTTTACTTGTGCAAGTATCATAGTAATTTTTTTATTTTGCAGGGAATGATTTTATTGAGTTAGCTCTTATTCTTTATTTTGTTAACTTATAAAATGATCCTATGTATTAGTTCAATATTCTGAAATGTTTTAAATATCCAGGGAGCACCAACTTTCTCGATATTGCGTTCTTCAGCATTGCCGCCACAGTTTCTTTGAAGCTTCCAGGGTCTAGGGTTCTATTGCACTGGACCTGAGTCTTTATACTTAAGCTTACTTGTAGATAATTTTCTAGTAGACAGAAATGGAAGTGAAAACTGCAAAGGCATTGGATAGGATTGCACTCAAATTGAAGAGAAAGCGAGCTACCCAATATGATGCACATATATGTGGAGCTTCACAACCAACAAACGGGGTTGTCAAACAGATAAAATTGGGTGAATATTGCAAAAAGATTGCAAATTCTGGTTCACATATTGGGCAGTCCTTGAATAAACGCTTTTTAAGTTATAAGAAGAGTGGGATACCAGCACAATTGATGTTCTATAAGGATGGTGAGTGGTTGGACTTTCCTAACAATATTCTTGACTTGGTTAAGAAAGATCTTGAAATGAAGAATTCGGTTGTGGAGGTGGAGTTAAATGGGTATCATATGGTGTTAAATTTTTTTAATATGTATAAGTTGGACTTGAAAACTGGTTTGTAATAACCAATGGCTTGGATTGATGAAGCAGGAGGCTGCTTTTTTCCCTGAGGTCTATGCTGCTTATGATGAAGAGCCTTATAATCTCTCTAAAAAGTATAGTGGTAAAAGTTAAGAATCGTATGATTCCAATGAAATAAAATTACAATTAGAAATTGAAATAAATGGGTTGGATTAGTGGAAGTTGAGGGAGTTCAGTGAGGAGTCCAATTCTTTGGTTAAGGGTATTAGAATTGATACTAAACAAGACTTGTATACCCCAAATCTTGCTTGACCATACAATAAGTGTTAGAATCGCGCAGCGAAATGTTGCGTTTACAGACAAAAACTAAGAGGGGGGTGAATTGGTTTCTCAAACAAAAATTAGGGTTTTAAAATTTTCACAAATTTCACCGATTAAAATGTTGTGTAAAGTAAAGAGAAGGGATAGAAGATTACACAGTCGATTTATACTGGTTCGGATCAAAAGACCCTACGTCCAGTTGCTAATCACTCAAACAGAGGATTAACGCTGTCACTATAATCACAATTATACAAACAGATTACAAATGAGAAGATAAGGTAAAAAATACACCTCTCTTGAGTCACACAAGAGATGAACACCTCCTTTGAATCCACAAAGGATGAAGAACAGCTTTCCCTAGAGACAGCACAACACACAATCCACCAAGAAAACCCACTTAGTGATTCTTATCACTTCTAGCCCACACTAGGTTTCAAAAGCCCCTTTTTCCTCTAACAAACAGTTCTCTAGCAGTCACAGCTCTTAACTTTTGTTTGAAAAAGGTTGTTCTATTTGCAGAGAGCCTTAGAGAACATTAAGTAGAGAGATTATGGTTTGGAAATTGGGGATTTTCGAAAATAGATGAATTGGGAATAGGGTTTTCGAAACTTGGTCCAATTTTGAATTTCAAAACACATATCTGACTGAAATAATCGATTATCTTGAGTGTTAATCGATTATTCCAGAGACATTTTCACAGAGGACCAAAAACAACACCAGTTAATCGATTAACAGGGCATTTAATCGATTATTCCAGAGAGCAAATACTGAAAATGGTTTTCTTTCTGTAATAATCGATTATCCTGCCATTTAATCGATTATTCCAGTATGTTTTTGATAAAAATGAGTTTTTAGAGCCTTTAAAGAGTGGACTATGTGCTGACTATCTTGGACTCTAATATTACAGACTCAAAATCATAAAAACAGAGTTATTACATAAAATTATAAGTCTTCAAATCTTTAAGTCCTTTATTCTTGAATCATCATCAAAATATACAAGCTTCATATCCATGTATGTTCAACATTCATATCCTTGTATGTTCAACAATCTCCCCCTTTTTGTAATAACCTGTTTTATTTGTCACAACTTTAACAAAAACATTAAACATACCAAACAACATTTAAATTTAATAAACATAAGAAATATAAGAGGCTTTAAATAATTTCTCCCCCTATTTTGATTATGATAAAAAAAAAATGAAAGCTCCCCCTGAATAAGTGCATAAGATATAGAAAATAGCTCCCCCTCAAACAAAGCAAAAATACAAATTTTATTCCATAAATTAAAGTAATTACAAACAAGAAGATATGAGGAAGAGATTAAAACTCTTCACTTGCATCACTGTTGAATTGAGCATCAAATCTATCCTCTAAGTTACAAACCCTATCATCTACATCTGAGATACAGCGAATAATTTCCTGATGCCGTTCTTGAGAGATAGTGAAGAATTCTTGCATTCTTTGATTCATATCAAAGAGCATATCTTCCATTGATTAACGGGATGTAGGAGGGGCAGATGATGTCCCAACAGTATGAATATTTTCAGTAGGAATCTCAGCAGCAGGCATCTCTTCATCGGAATCTTGAACATCTTCAGCCATGTTGGGAGCGTCATCTTTGTGAACATAAATTCCATATACATGCACCATTTGTAACTGAGTGAACATGCTGTCAAGCATTCTATTTGAATTTATCATCCTGACCATTTGCTCTCCTTCAACTTTCACTCCTTTGTATTCTAAAATACGAGAAATAAGAGCATATGGAATTTTGAAAGTTGGATGATGCTTAGCTTTAAGCATTGTCAGGGTGACAATACTACCCCAGTCAATTGGCTCATTATTCATGATGGCATGAATAATGCGAAGATCAATAGATGAGCATTGGGTATGGTTGGTTGCCCGGGGACATAAAGTCTAGACAATGAGATGCAGCAACAAGTGTTCTTCCTTCTTTAATGGGCCAACCAATAGAAGTCGTCCAATTTCCATGGAGGGGTTGCGGAGAAATGAGCGGTAGGCCATAATTCTATCAAAATCTTCTAACTCCGCAAAAAATATTGATAGCATCTTCTCTTATAGTAAAGTGGACAACATTTTCCCATATATCATCATCAAGGATGATAGTCACACCCTTGACTCAAGAAGTGGCTACATGATCTCTAAATTTAAAACGAGAATAGAATACCCTAACTAAATCAGGGTAGTAAGTACCTTGCATTTGGATAAATGGGAGGACACCTTGTATTTCAAGAAGATTTAGAAAATTAAATCCTCTATTGATGAATTGATCACCAATAATATATTTTGGAGTGATGATACCCCTTTCTTTCCAGAAGGTGAGAAATTCTTGTCTACCTTCATCGTCTGAGATCCATCCCTCAACAAAATTTGGACGAGGATGAGACGCAGGAGCAGATCTTCTTCTTGTGGGGATCTTAGCACGAGATGAGGAAGCCATTAGGATTAGAAGGAAAGAAAATAAGAGAGTTTTGAAGGCAAGTGAGGTTGTGAGAAAGCAAGAGAGCTTGAATGATGCAAGAATGTTTTGATTCAAGTATTTAAGGTGTGGAGATGTGAAATGAAGCCTTCCTATATATAGAGAACAAGTGAAATGGTCATATTTGGGTGAAAGGGTGCCAAAATAGTCGTTGCAAACGACTAGTTTATCAAAAATGTTCCAGGATAATCGATTAAAGCTTCTGTTAATCGATTAAATCATCAACTGGACCAATTAATCGATTAACTGATGCTGTTAATCGATTAAATGAGAAGATAATCGATTATTGCTACAAATAATCGATTATTCCAGAGAGAAACTTCAGATTTTGGTTAGTTTGGTTCAGATAATCGATTATTTCCCAAAATAATCGATTATTCTAGAGAGATCATCAAATTTTTAAGGTTTAGACACATGATAATCGATTAAAACCCTACATAATCGATTATTACAGTACAATCATGCAAAAATTGATTAGTTAAGTAGAATTTAAGCTATTTCTAATATTCCTAATTTTCTTCTAAGATCATAGAATCTATCCTTGGGAAGAGGTTTAGTAAAAATATCTGCTAATTGATGCTTTGTATCAACATATTCGATTTTACAATTTCTTTACTAATGTGATCTCTTAAGAAGTGATGTCTAATCTCTATATGCTTAGTTCTAGAGTGCATTACTGGAATCTTAGTAAGATTGATTGCACTTGTATTATCACACATCAAAGGAATATCACTTAGAAAGATACTATATTCTTCTAATTGTTGCTTCATCCATAAAATTTGAGCACAACAATTACCAACTGCAATATATTCAGCTTTAGTAGTAGATAAAGCAACACATGCTTGTTTCTTAGAATGCCAAGACACTAAGGATGATCCTAACAAATGACATGTTCCACTAGTACTCTTTCTATCTATTTTACATCCACCATAATCAGCATCAGAATATCGTATTAAACTAGGAGAAGCTTCAGATGGATACCATAATCCAAATCCTGTAGTTCCTTTTAAATATTTTATAATTCGTTTAACTGTAGTTAAGTGAGATTCTTTTGGACATGTTTGAAAACTAGCACACACACAAACATGATGCATAATATCAGGTCTACTTGCAGTTAAGTATAACAGTGAACCTATCATACCTCTATATATAGATTGATTTATTTCCAAACCTGATTCATCCTTGTCTAAATAGCATGAAGTTCCCATGGGTGTGTTAGCTTCCTTTAAAGTGTCCATTCCAAATTTCTTGATAATCTCTTTGCAGTATTTGGCTTGAGACACAAAAGTGCCATCTTTGAGTTGTTTAATTTGATGTCCAAGGAAGAATTTTAATTCTCCCATCATTGACATTTCAAATTCACCCTGCATTATCTTAGCAAATTCTACACACAAGGAATTATCAGTTGATCCAAAAATGATATCATCAACATATACTTGAACTAATAAAATATGTTCTTTTACTTTCTTAATAAACAAAGTGGAATCAATTTTCCTCTAGAAAAATCATTTGAAGTTAGAAAACTACTTAATCTTTCATACCAAGATCTAGGAGCTTGTTTCAAACCATATAAGGCTTTCTTCAATTTAAAAATATGATTAGGATATTTAAAATCTTCAAATCCAGGGGGTTGTTCCACATATACTTCTTCTTTGATAAACCCATTTAAGAATGCACTTTTAACATCCATTTGATATAATTTAAATTTCATCAATGAGGCATAAGCAAGAAGTAGGCGTATAGCCTCTAACCTGGCAACAGGAGCATAAGTTTTATCATAATCAATACCTTTGGCAACAAGTCTGGCTTTGTTCTTTGTTATATTTCCATCTTCATCAAGTTTGTTTATAAATACCCATTTTGTTCCAATCACTTGATGAGACTCTTCTCTTGGAATTAATTCCCAGACTTGATTCCTTTCAAATTGATTAAGTTCTTTTTGCAATGTTATACACCATTGGTCATCTTTAAGAGCTTCCTCAACACTTTTGGGTTCAATCTGTGAAACAAAAGCTACAGACATACAAAAATTTGTCATATTTCTTGTTCTTACCCCTTTTGAGATATCACCAACTATATTGTTCATTGAAAGTCCTCTTGGTGATTGTCATTCATTTGCTAATTTAGTTGGTTGAGATGACTCATTCTCATTCAAATACATTTCTTCTAGAGCCTCTCTTATGTACTCATCATCACCTGCAACTTCTTTATTTGACTCAAGAGGATTTCCCTCAAGGTCTACAATTTCATTAAAGGTGACATGTACAGATTCTTTAACATTTAAAGTTCTTCTATTGAACACTCTATATGCTTTGCTAGTTAGTGAATAACCTAAGAAAATGCTCTCATCGGCTTTTGAGTCAAATTTTCCTAAGTTATCTTTTCCATTATTTAAAACAAAGCATTTACATCCAAATATTTTTAAATGAGCAACATTAGAGAGTTGATTTTATAATTGGCCTAATAAGCATCCTATTCAACACATAACATG